AATTGTTATTAAATGTTTTATTGTTACTTTCACCTGTCACTGACTTMATCGTTTCCCATAATATTTTTGGATTCTTACTGGCTGAAATAATTWGATTTTTAAAATATTGTTGTTTGACTTTGCGTAATTCAGCAACACATTTATTTCGGTAACTGTTTAAACGAGACTGATTTTCAGAAGTTTTAGTTTTTAAGATTCCTCTTTCACATCACTTCCTGTTTCTTTACATGTGTATATCTCAACAACTGTTCATCTAAGCGGCGTGAAATTTGTTTTGTAATGTTATTCATGTTGTCTTTCAAAAAAAGTGCATTCATGTTTATTACAAAAATTTGAAGCCACATGTACTTTAAATCCCTCTGTAACGAGGCAAACCAGAGCAGACTGAAATTATTCTGTTAGTTTAGATGTTTATTTTTTTAACTGGACTTTGACTCAATGATTTGTTTTAATGCATCTTATCTTAAACATCAATATCCTGCAGTTCTGTCCTTTTTTTGACAAAACAAGAAAAGCTGATTCTTATTTATTCATTTTTACTCACTAACCRGTTGGTTTTGTTTAGTTTCATTTTTAAACATCGGAGGAGTAACTGTGGCCTCGTTCAGCTCTTTAAATCAGCCAAAAGTTAGAATCTGTGGGTTTGTATGCAGAAGTGAGAAAGCAGAAGTGTTGAGTTGAGAAAGCAGGGTTCAGCCTCCGCAACATCACATGAACCAGCTTCATCGAACAAAGTCTGCAGAGACTCCGCTCCCTTCAGCAAACAAACAAATCGTTTTCACTGATGCAGATAAGACAATGTGAGACAGATGGACACATTCAGGTCTGTTTTCTCTTTAAACTCGTTTCAAAACATGGTGGATTTGAAAGCTGGATTTTGAGTAAAAATCTGGAAGGAAAACGACCAAGTTTGGGTGAGTTGTTGGGTTCCAACTGTCGCTTTGAGTCCTGGTTTCTGGTCTGGATCAGGTCCAGCCCGGAACGTTTTGTAGAGCTCAGATTTTATTGTTGGTTTAATTAAAGTGCCTGTGATGTCAAATTTTTGTAATAAACATGAATGTATTTTTGGAAAGATAACAAATTGCAAAACAAATTTCACACCGCTCAGATGAACGGTTGTTGAGATATTTGCATGTGAAGAAACAGGAAGTGATGTCAAAGGCATGTAAACAGAGTGCCATTACAAAAGCTAACACAGACTGTAGAGACGAATCTGATGTTTCTTTAGATTATTTTAGTCGCTATCAAAGAGAGATGAAGAAGAGTTAAAGTATAAATAATGTTTTAATAAACAAAGACCAGTGAGTTTATTTTATTAAAGAGTTCCCCTTTGATGTCACTTCCTGTTTCACTTTGGCAGAGCCAAATTCAAAAGAAAGTAGGCCAGTTATGTGACAAAAACTGTAAAATCATGTGTACTATGCTAATTTTCCTAAGAATAAAGATGTTTCCTTTGACTTTTTGTATTTGAAGGATAGGATGTCACAGGCACTTTAAAAACTCACAGATTTCAGCTAAAACCTGTTTGTTTTTGTGTTTTTTAAAGAGGTCCCAAAACCAGCTGTCGTCCAGAGCCCACGGAGGTCTGACCCAGATCAAACCTGCACCACAGCAGAACGTCTTCAGGTACAAGATCTGAGTCCAAACCGGAGCTTCGGAGTCTCCGTCTCCTGCGTGAACCTGGCTCAGAGCTCTCCGAGTCCGGTTCGAGGCGAAGGAGGAGCCCACTTCCTGAACCCAGACCGTCTGTCACCGAGTCCGGGCAAGAGGAGCGTCAAGAGCTGCAGTCCCTTAAGAGAGGGGGGCCACAGTCCTGCCAAGCTGTCCCCCAGAAGCCACAGCCCCCTGATGGGAAAGCTGCGGACCCCGAGCCCGGTTCTGAAGAGAATGGGCAGCTACAGTCCGGTCCGGTGCTCCAGGTCCTGGCTGGGGCTGCAGAGAGTCTGGAGCGAGGTGATGGGAAATCCCGAGAGGAAGGCGGAGAAATCTCTAAGCGTGCCCAATCTGGTCGTCTGCGCGGACGACTGCAGGTGAGATCCGTTAGCAAAATCAGAAAATCCCTGCATAATCTGAGCCATGACAGATTAAATCTCTGCTCAGGCTTCCTGATGGAGCTGAAAGTTCTCCTCTGAAGTGGCTTCAGGCAGCCAGCTGTAACGGACCGGGCATCTTCATCACAGTCCCGGATAAATCTGAGTACAGTGACGTCAACGAAGGAAGCAGCGAGACAGAACTTTCCCCGAGACGAAGTGACGACAYAGAGCTGGATCCAGCAGAATCTGGACCCGGGTTCTCCTGCGAGCGGACTAAAGCGAGTGAAGAACAGATTGTCGAGGCGCTGGGAGTTTCTGAGGATGAGGAGGAGATGGGTGAAGAGACGGGAAGCGAGGTGAAAGAAGACGCTACGGAGCAGAAGTTGTTCAAGATAGCTAATGAGCTCCTGCAGACGGAGAGGTCCTACGTGTCCCGACTCCACCTCCTGGACCAGGTCAGTGTGGCTCCTTCATCAGAAGAACCAAACATTACAGGTGGGCGGGGCTAAAGTTCTGTCAATAAACATTTTTGTTCAACATGAAATCAAACAGAAGGTTTAGCTTTTAATCAGATCCTGGGCCAGATCAGAGGATTGTCCTGGGCCAGATCAGAGGATTGTTTTGGGCCAGATCAGAGGATTGTCCTGGGCCAGATCAGAGGATTGTCCTGGGCCAGATCAGAGGATTGTCCTGGGCCAGATCAGAGGATTGTGTTGGGCTAGATCAGAGGATTGTCCTGGGCTAGATCAGAGGATTGTCCTGGGCTAGATCAGAGGATTGTCCTGGGCTAGATCAGAGGATTGTCCCGGCCTAGATCAGAGGATTGTCCCGGCCTAGATCAGAGGATTGTCCCGGCCTAGATCAGAGGATTGTCCCGGCCTAGATCCGAGGATTGTCCCGGCCTAGATCCGAGGATTGTCCCGGCCTAGATCCGAGGATTGTCCCGGCCTAGATCCGAGGATAGATCCGAGGATTGTCCCGGCCTAGATCCGAGGATTGTCCCGGCCTAGATCCGAGGATTGTCCCGGCCTAGATCAGAGGATTGTCCCGGCCTAGATCAGAGGATTGTTTTGGGCTAGATTAAAGGTTTGTCCTGGCTCTAGATCGGAGGATTGTCCTGGACTAGATTAAGACGAATCAGAGAGAAATCAAAGATTATTTTGGTTTAATTTCTCATAAATTCATGTATTTAATGTAACTTTATGACAATGTCTGAGGTTTAGATTTTCTCTGAATTTGGCCCCGCCCATAAGCTTATTTTACTCTTTTCTATAAGCAGTGGCCTTCAAACATCGTGTTAAAAACTTTATTCACTTCTGTTTAAGCTTTTTGTCTGTTTAATTTCCACCCCAGGTGTTCTGTCTGCGCCTGACTCAAGAAGCTGATCGAGGCTCTTTTCCTCCTGATGTCATCAAAAACATCTTCTCCAACATTTCCTCCATCTACTCCTTCCACAGCCAGTTTCTGCTCCCTGACCTGGAGAAATGCATCTGCAACTGGTCTGACTCTCACTTCCTATTTGAAAACCAACTTTCTGTTAGGAGTGGCAATCACTGCACCATACTTTCTAATTTTGACTTTTAAAGCTACAAATTTCTCATTAGCGTTGATTTGGCAGATCTTCACACAAACATCAAAATGACTGTGTTGAATATTTTGAATCTGTGATTCAATAAAGACACTAGTGACGACCTCTGTTTGATGAAATCCAGGTCTGAGAGTCCAGGTCTGGGTAAAGCTCTCSTGCAGCACGCCCCCTTCCTGAGGATGTACGCCGATTACGTGAAGAACTTTGATCAGGCCATGGAGCTGGTGGGGACCTGGACTAAATGTTCCTCTGCCTTCAGGAACATCATCCAGGACATCCAGGTAGTAAACCCTCATAGGTTAAATTTTTTAAACGTCTGCTCCGTAGCTCTGAGCGARACGTGGTGTTTGTCGTGTTAGAGTCAGGACGTGTGTGGCAGCCTCAGCCTGCAGCACCACATGTTGGAACCGGTGCAGAGGGTTCCACGTTACGAGATGCTGCTGAAGGATTACCTGAAGAAGCTTCCCGAGGACAACCCAGACTACCCGCTTGCTCAAAGTAAGTGATTTTTAACCAGTTTTTTAATGATTCATGTGGAAATCTGCAACTATTTTTGGTAAATGATGGAGGTTGCATCAAAGAGGACACCCAGACTAAAACTTCAGCCAAAACAAAAATGCAGATTTACCACTGTCCTGCTGAATTTGCTTTACCAGAATCCATGGTTAACACCCTTTGATGCCTTCAAAGATGGCTGTGGAAATTGAACTGAACAGTCAATGTCAGCGTTAAGTGTTTTCTTTCTTTTGACAGAGTCCTTGGAGGCCATTTCCATGGCAGCCACCCACTCAAACAGCGCCATCCACAGAGCCGTACGTTACCGCAGCATCAGCCGTCAACCCTCGTCGTTTGGAACGGGGCTGAAACATTTCCTGTCATGTGGTTGTAGGAGAACCTGAAACGGCTCCTGGAGATCTATGAGATGGTCGGAGAGGAGGAGGTGATCAACCCGACYAGCGAGTTCCTCAGGGAAGGTCGTCTGCTGAAGCTCGCTGCCAGAAACACGTCGGCCATGGAGAGATACCTGTTCCTGGTCAGCTCAGGTCTGTAAATCATGTGAATTATGTCAATTTGGAATAAATGATTTACCTTTTCCCCCTCTGTAGTTCAACAACTTCCTGCTGTGTTGCTCTGCCAAGTTCAGCCTGGTTGGACAGAGATTCACAGTCCGCTGTAGGATTGGAGTGGACGGGATGCARGTGCAGCAGACCACCAATGAGGACCACCCGTACACCTTCCAAGTGTCTGGAAAGGAGCGGACTCTGGAGCTACAGACTAGGTGAGCAACACAAATGTAATCCTTTAGTTATAGACCGATTAACCATTGAAGTCAACCCAATCCAAAATGGCCACTGCTTATTAAACCCAAAAGTGTCTATAATTGGGTGTAGTAGTAAACGCTGATGTTTTGTTTTCCTCTGTTGAAGCTCTGGCGAGGACAGAGATGAGTGGATAAAGGTTGGTTACATTTCATTAAAAGTTGGAAAAGATTTTGTTGTTGCAGCTTATAAAAGATAATTTGACCTGCAGGTGATTCAGGAAGCCATYGACACGTTTCAGAAGAAAAATGAAACCTTCAAATCGGCTTCAAAGGAACCGAATCTTGAAGATCCTGTAGGTTGGATCTTATCATGTTACATTTGATTTAAAGAGCTACCGTCCTGATTCTGATTGTGTCGTACAGATGAAAGAACTGGGCCGACGAGCCCCTCGCTGGATCCGAGACAACGAGGTGACCCTGTGTATGACCTGCAGAGAGCCCTTCAACTCTCTGACCAGGAGACGACATCACTGTCGAGCCTGTGGCTACGTGAGGAACACAAAGATGAGCTTTATTTTTATAAAAATACTCTGAGGACAGTCTTGTTGAAGCTCCCTCTGCTCCATCAGGTGGTGTGTTGGAAGTGCTCGGATAATAAAGTGGCTTTGGAGTACGATGGGAACAAGCTGAATAAAGTGTGTAAATCGTGTTACTTTGTCCTGACGAGCCAGAGGGGGGAGAGGATGGACAGGAAGAAGAGAAGGACGTTGGAGGTGAGCTTTGTAGATGTTCTGTAATGTTTAGGGAAAATAAAATTGTAAAATTCTGTCTGACGATGGCCTGACCTTTGGTGTCATCACAGTTTGATCCATATCCTGGCTCACAGAGCAGCGTAATGAGCAGCTACCTTGAGTACGGCGACAGCTCCATGATTTGGCGACGAGTGTGGTGTGTCCTCACCAAGACTGATCCTCCTGTGTTTTGTGTCTACGCTTCTCCTCAGGTAATCAGCTCAGAGTTCAYGCAGATTATTCTGTAATTAAATCCTTTTACTTTATGGTGAAACAGATGAAAGTTTTGTTTGTAGCCAGGATCTTGCAGCAAGGTTTTATTGTAGAAAACAAGCAAAAACAGCTAAAACTGAGATTTATTGTGCAGTTGTAAGTTGGTCCATGTGTCAAAAACCCTTTGTAATTTTGGTCCAGACGTCTGAAACCCTTTGTAGTTTTGGTCCAGGCGTCTGCAACCCTTTGTAGTTTTGGTCCAGGCGTCTGAAACCCTTTGTAGTTTTGGTCCAGGCGTCTGAAACCCTTTGTAGTTTTGGTCCAGGCGTCTGAAACCCTTTGTAGTTTTGGTCCAGGCGTCTGAAACCCTTTGTAGTTTTGGGTCCTGGCGTCTGAAACCCTTTGTAGTTTTGGGTCCTGGCGTCTGAAGTCCTTTTGTAGTTTTG